CTGAGTGTGTGCTGAGGCGTGACAAGTGCCGGCGGACGAGAGTAGAGCTCGGATCGCGGTGGCGGCGCACGCACGCACTCACGCACTCACGCACGCACGCAGGCATGGGCTTGCATTGGAGCAGCCAACCGGCGACTGCGTGGCTGGGTGCAGACAGTGCGACGAGGCAGGCGTCCGACCAGTTGAGCTCACTTGGTGCCAGACCTTGCGGCGCAGATTGACCGAGACCACTTTCCGCGCCAGTTGCACTCGACGGTCGGGACTCGAGCCGACGCCCTCTCCACCGGCTGCCTCCATCGTCTGCTCGACGCGGCGGCCATGTTGTCTGGCGATCTGTTGCACCTGCCGAGGCTGGCACTGGCGCGCGGCCGCCTCCTCACGGCGCGACTGGTGCTCGAGCCGCGCCGGTACCAGCTGCCCTCGAGCTCGGCCGGCCAGTTCCGGCCGGTGCTCGGCATCCGACGCGAGACCATCAACCTGTGGGAGAGAAGAGCGCCTCTGGCACCGTCGCATGTGCGCCAACTGGTGCTGAAGGGGGTGCGTGTGCTGTTGCAGCCGTCCAACAGACGCACATACACGTCGGCCGAGTACGCGGCGGTCGGAGCGGAGGTGCGCGAGGACCTCTCCGAGGCCACGCTCATCATGGGCGTGAAGCGACCCTTGGGCCTCGACATGCACGACCTGATGCCAGGCAAGACGTACGCCTTCTTCACGCACACAATCAAGGCGCAACAGGACAACATGGATCTGCTCGATGTCATGCTGGAACGGGTAAGACGAGACAAAGAGTCCTCGACCAGACTCGCCTCAAGTAATTCTCTTGGTCGGGCTCAAGACCGAGAACCAAAAGGGGATCGCATGTCAACGTTTGCATTCCCACGACACACAAGAAGCCCGCTTGAGTTTTCGTAAGTACTGCTTTGACAGAAAAACCCACTACGCGTAATCCCACTTGATGCAAAACTGGGAAAAGGCCAAGAGCCCACTTTCTCATTTCGGATTCCGCATTTTGCAATCAAAGCAAGGCATAGAGGTTGTTTGACCCTGCTTTCGCAACTTGGTCATATTGGTAGGAAGACTTAGAGGAACGCACCCAGTCCTGAGTCCATTGTATGCATAATTATTTCCAAAGTCGGACCGTGGACGCGGCACCTTCCCAAACGTTTCGCCGGCATCGTAGTCGGCATCGTCAATGAGTCTCGCAATTCGTAGCTCGTCAAAGAGACAAGTGAAACCGATCCTTTGACCAAACCTGTGCTAATCAATTGTGGTATCTCCCCTTCTGCCCTGGCCTATTCACACTTCCTATATCATCCAATCACACCTTCACTGTTACAATCTTACCGTGCTTATTTTGATGTAGTGTGGTGTGCTCCTTCGAGCGACATTCATGAAAATCCTTCACACTCCACATTGTCGTTATCACACCCTTCACCCTTGTGATGGGAATGTTGACCA